GCTTTGGCATATTTATATGCCTCCAGCCCCGGTAATTCTATTTACCTACATATTTATCTCGCTACAGTAATGAATCGTGTTAAATATCTAAATGGCTTTTTTCTACGTTCTGGTTAACCTCAACATTTACCTATACGTACATATATGATTACATTTATCAGTGTTTTTTTTTCCTTTTTGTTTCTGTATCTGTTTGCACTCTGCCAATCTTCATAATTCTTATATCGTATATTCATATATCTTTACCCTTTAAACTTGAACTTAGATATGTTAGTTATGTGCGTTATGCAGGGAACAACAGCTATTCCTCTAGGCGAAAACTGAATTTCGCCTCTTCCGAGTATTGAATCATCTTTGTACCTTGCTTTCAATGGATAAAGGTGATTATTATTATTTCACTCATGATAGATTCCTCTGCTCGGTTGTCCTCAAAACTTGATGATACTGAAACAGTTGCAAGACACGCTTCTCTGGATATACTCGTACGAGTACCTACATCTGACCGATTGGTATGTGTTTTGTCGGTAGTTGATGCCGTGGTGCCGTGACTGACTACCGCCGAGGATGATCGTACCAACGTTCATGGGCACGCGCAGAAATTTTTATCAGGGGAGGGGGAATATCATCGCCTAGAAATTATTGCGGGGGGGAGGGGGTTAGGAAATCCATAAAATCCGCAAAAATAGACATAAAATCATGCTAAACGTACAAATTTCAAGGACCAACCGGAATCTCACGAAGAAGCAGCCCCCCACGATAGCCCTTAAGGTTCAATTACTTCCTTTTTTACATTTTGACACCAATACAATTACATTTACAAATAATATCATTGATCACGTTATTTAACAAAAATAGTTGTTTTTTCACCTTGGCACCTATGCATAAAAGCAGAATATCAATTTATCAAAGGAAAAAGGCAGCATTCTTAGATGCTGAAAAGGTTTACTTTTGTGCTATTTTGTGAACTTCAATATGAATAAATTATATTAAAATAAAATAAAATTCTCCGTTACTACGTTTTCCCTTGAAATAATAATACATCGATATAAATAGATTATGAAAACTAAGAAAAAGGGCAGTACATTTGTTTTATCAGAGCATAAGAGCAGTAAATCACATGTTACTGCTTTTTGATTTACAATAAAGATAAAGTTTCGTAACTGTAGAATAGTCATTTACTGTTATTCTGCCGTAATATTACTATTTATTTAGTTCGAAAAAATACTCAATTTTGCACTCAATTTTCTTAGACTTCGATTCCTACATTATACTGTCTTTTACCTAAGTATGGCAGTATGGACTAATTATTATAATTATGGGTTTGACTGATAACCCATTTGTTTTCTTACAGATGTTAGCTAACTTTTTTCTCAGTTGAACGTAACAATTTATAAACAATTCACAACGTTACGTGGCAAGTTCAGACGCCATTTATTGTTTCTAGGTCTATCAACTATCACCGTACCAAATTTCAGTCGATTATTAATTCTCCTTACCTCAAAGCCCCCGATGATTGGACTAATCAAATTGACCAAACTAGTTCACTCTGTACATTTTCATGCCAGTCGACGATGTTATTGTACATTTTCGTGGCCGCTCTTCCAGAATGTGACTCTGGAGCCCGCCACCGGAGGATTTCCCGAACCCCGGATTCTCCTCCAAAAAGCTGCGCTCGCCGACTGCAAACTCAACGTGGTAACTTTTATGCCGGTGCCGAACGGAATACCTGAGCGAGCTTAAACTTCTTGAAACTAAACTTTGATATTTATTCCCATCAGAGCTATTTAGAAATAGTTTCGATTCAAGTTGATGGGTACTACAGTAAGACTTTTGACAGGACATAATGACCTGAAAAAATACTAGCACAAGCTGCATGTTAGGCCTCAACTGCATACAACGTAGTAGAGCAACAGAGTCGAAATTCTATGTCCTGTGTGAGTGCGAAACGCTAGATGACTACATATTAAGAGGCTGCAATTGAAGACACAAGTGGATCGAGAAAATTGACTAAATATTTCTAATGGGACTTTTTACTTTATTGATATTTGAAATATTTGGTTTAATTCGTTTGTTATTATCTTTTTTTTGCAACAAAGTAATCACAGAATGAAAGAATCACTCCTTAAGGTTAGCTTAATGCAAAAAAGCAATTTTTAAAAAAATGTAACAGTTATCCACTTATGTCTTCAATTCTTACGGAGACCTATTCAAGGGTATTTCGCACAGTAACATCAGACATCAAACTTGGTACAGATTACTTTTTCCTTATAATCGATTATGAACTTAATAAATTGTATAACGCTTTCGATAGGCACGTTCTATGCACATTACCAAAGGATAACAGATACCCTCCCTGGTTTTCTCGTGCAATAATCTTTAAAATATCAAAAAACATCGCCTCTGGACGCGATATAAGAGAACTTTGGTTAGATCCGACTATGAAGCTTTCAGCAACTTGCGGAGAGCCATCAAAATCGATATAGCCTTGGCGTTTTCTAATTTTGTTGCGAGAACTGAGCGTGCCCTTGCACAAAACCCCAATCAATTTTGGTCCTTTGTTTGCGCAGCAACAGATCAGGCATACCCAACAATATGTCTTTGGAAAATGAGGAGTAGAGGAATCCACAGGAAATTGTTGATACTTTTGCCAAGCATTTCCAGTCCACCTAGATCACGTCTTCTCAACCATCCGCTGATTGTTCCGTTGCAGAAAATATATCGTATCTCCCTATAGTGACTATTAATGTGGAGCATGTACGGAATGCAATGAAACGGTTAAAGCCTAAATGTTCCACTGGCTTGGATTGCATACCTTCATTTTTTCTAAAAGACTGTGCGTGTGTTCTTGCTGAGCCTTTGACATATCTTTTCAATTTGTACTTGAAATCTGCCACCTTTCCTAGAAAATGGAAATCGTCTAAAATAACACCTGTTTTTAAGAAAGGCGATCGATCGCAGGTAGAGAATTACAGGGCTATTGTTATTTTAAGTAATATTGCCAAAATTTTTGAGTTTCTTCTTTTTGATATTCTGTTCTCTCATGTAAGTCGGTCAGTATCGACGAGTCAACGTGGTTTCTATAAGGGTAGATCTACGTGTAGTAATCTGGCATATTTTAAGCAGTACTCCGCGTCAGTTCTGGATAATGGCGGACAAGTTGATGTAGTCTATACTGACTTTTCGAAAGCTTTCGACCGCTTGGATCACGGTGTCCTACTGCAGAAGTTGTCTAAGTACGGTTTAACATCTAGATTCTTAGCTTTCGTTCATTCATACATCAGTGATAGACAATTATGTGTGGACTTCCGCGGATATAAGTCTGGTGCGGTTTTAGCTACATCAGGGGTGCCCCAAGGTTCTGTTCTGGGTCCTCTATTATTTTTAATTTTTATCAATGATGTTACAACAGACTTGCGTTGTGAGTACCTGCTATATGCCGATGACCTCAAAATCTTTAATAGCGTGTGCTGCTTAGAAGACAGTTTAAGGTTACAGGCTGATTTGAATGTCATTGATCACTGGTGTGAGGTAAATAACATGCACTTGAATGTCAATAAATGTACTACTATGACGTTTACACGCAGGGTGGAACCGACATCTTTTAATTTTGAAATCGGTAGCAATGTTCTTTGTCGTGTTAATATCGTCAAGGATTTGGGCGTATTATTCGATCTAAAGCTTTCTTTTATTGATCACATTAATGCAATAATAGCAAAAGCATTTAAAAATCTTGGTTTTGTTATAAGAAACAGTAAACATTTCAATAATACTAATACATGAATTTTACTTTTTAATGCTTTTGTCAGATCTATTTTAGAATACTGTTCGATTATCTATGATATACACTGTCGAGAGAATCCAACGTCGTTTTGTGAAATACTTATGGTTTAAAGATGATAGAGCGTACCCTGAAAGGGGTATACGCAATGACATTCTCTTAAGTAGATATAATTTACATAATTTAGTGAAACGTATGATTCTGTTAGCTGCTAAATTTTTAGGTACTTTGTTGAATGGAACAATTGATTGCCAAAATCGGTCTCAAGAGATGTTTTTTAACAATTGGATAATTTATATTTATGTCTTTTTTATCATGTACTGTTTAGAGTTTTGTTTTTGTATCATTTTTTGTTTTTTCCCTGCTTGTTAATTGGATCACTCTGTTCAGGCAGTGTATGGATTATTATAGTAAATAAATAAATAATGAGCATAATCGATTTTCTTTGTAAGAATATTCGATTTGTAATATATCGATTATATGAATTGGACATTTTAATCCATTTTGGTAACTGCCTGACAGATGAAAAAAACGCAAACCCAGTTCATGCTATTCCATTTGAAATGTTTGTAGAAACAGCATGTTGTTTGGCTTGAACACCCCGAATTATCTAACCAAGCTTTCACAAAGTAGGCCGTTTTCATACTCTGCTTGGTTTATAACACAACGACTAACATTAAACTGCTTCCTTCAAAGGGGTCTATTAGAACATGCAGTAAAATATGGGTCTTTTAAAATAATACTTTGATCTCACTGAAGTTTATTTACTCAGTCACATTCCTAGTGTTTTCTACTCTCCAGAACAATTAATATTTAGGTGTTTGTTGATGTTGTAAGAAAATAGTAGTTGCTATTCAGAAAATCAGAGCTTTTGAGCATATCCACCGTAAAACAATCTTTGACCAACTATATTTCCAATTCAAAATATTTACCGTGCTTTAACTCTAAAAACGTTGTAAGCCGTTATCTGTAACCCTGGTCCATCAAACCACTTGTGTCATGTACTGGAGGAGGTTACTATTGTGCCCAAAGCGTATCCAATAAAGGATAATTAAACAGATGTGATTTGATTGGCCAGACAAGCATAAGAGATTTTGTGTAGTCTTAGTTTTCACCTACGTTAAAAAATCATGAGTAATGGTAGAATGCTGTATAAATCAAAATATATTCCAGGTTAATTCACATGTTGCAGAAATCTTACTGATTTTTAGTTTCATAACATCTAAGGACTTGGATCAGATAACTCGATCTCTCTTGAATTCATCGAAACATTTTCTGATGACGTTAGAGTCTCCTGGATGCTCTCAATATGTGCTAGTTTCTCCTTCAAGACAAAACTTTCATGTGACAATGCATTTTTCTGCTCTTCAATTTGCTTCAGCTGCGTCATTAAGTACGCTCTTTCAGCTTCCATTTCTTCCAAGGTCCTCCTCAGTTGCTCATCTTCTGATCTCAGTTGCTCGATTTCCGTGTGACCCGTACTGACTACGCTCAATGCTTCGTCTAGTTTCGCTCTCAATTCTGAATGTTCATGTTCCAGATTTCTTACCTCTCGTTTCAAAGAACCCGGAGGCTCTATTACATCCAATTGTTGTTGCAGCTCATCTTTCTCTTTCTCCAATACGTTCAATGTTTGGCTTAGACTCGCTGTTTCTTCTCGTAGCTTTGATACTCCGGCATTGTCTTCAGTCACTAGAGCGAGTGCAGTGCTGAGTAGTCTGGATAGCTTCAAATTTTGATTGTTTAACTGTTTTATGCGCCGGATTACTTCAGTACTTTCTGAATCGGTCATTTCTCATGTACTGATAATTTCGCTATACATTTTCGTTAGGTTGAACGGAATGGCAATGACAACGATCCAGCGGTGTGACATTTGGGGTATCATAACTCCACTTGTACCGGGCGACTCAATAATAAAGGACACCGGCTATATCTCAGCAACGGCTTAACCTAGAGCTAGGGCCACCCGTTAAAAAATTTCATAACAAAAGTGGCCAAGGGTAAATTGCAGAAAATTATTTTCAGCTCCCTACCCTACTGAGCGGGGCCGTGGCAAATGCTTGTTTCGGAAGTTGTTGTATCCAGTATGCAACTTCTTCCAGCAGGAAGGAATACCACAGCACCGATTGCCGGGTGGCGGTACAAGTACGCCACTGGGCCAGCTTTAGGTTTGCTTAACATCACTAACTCGCAAACAGAAGTTGGTAAACAAGGACCAGTCGAACGAGGTGGTACTACCCGCTAGGTTTTCCCAGGGTGTCTTATGAATGTCCGTATGCTTCCACACCTAAGCTACGCAGTCGGTCATCTTACCCAAGAAAGAAATTAATGGTGATGGATCCCTCGAATACTATTCCGGACGTAAACACACTCCATTCTCGGAATGTCCAGGTGGAGGGTAGACTCGAGGGGACAACATCGAAAATAAAATTTGTTCCATGAACATCTGCGGGATAAGCAACAGTATTGACGCTGTTGCTCACTACCTGCGATCTGCACCGTTCACAAATTACGAGGTGTACTCCAATCTAAGAAAGAACGAGGGAGTTGTGGTTTTTCCGCAGCCGTCTTTGCTGCTCCAGGGACGTTTCTTTGGAATCAGACCGGAAGGACATTCTGTTGCTTCGTCTAAGTTCCAAAACATCCCGCCAAATTAATTTGCAGCATTTATTGCTCTTCCTCGGACCATAACTGAGATACTCCTTCTCCACCTTCCCTTGGAGAGAGATGTTTGTTTCGCTGACGCGGATGCTTCGGCTGTCTGTTCATCGATAACCGAAATTATCCACGCTGGTATGGAGGAATACATCTCTCATCCAGTGAAAGCGCCTAAACCAGGGTCCAACGGCTAGTACAATAAATCGTCAGCAGAAGATCAAGGTACACAGAACCTTCTTACAAAACCCCATTGTGGAGAGCAGACAAGCCGACGTCAAATCCAGAAACAAATACAACGAAGCGGTCCGCAAGTTAGGCAAGGGGTAATGTCGCAGCGCAATGGCAGTCGGTCTTTCTGGACGTTGGCCAAGCAGATTGAAAAGAACTACTCACACAGTAGCCTTCCACCACTTACGTGTCAGGATGGAACTATTGTATTCGACTCAAAGTCAAGGCGGAAGTGCTGCCAACTCCACCATGGACGTCCCCCTCCAACGCCCAAGTGTCGTCAATTCAAAGGGTTTCCTACACTATGCAGGAAGTAACATTCAGGTATAAGACTGTAAGACGAGTGCTCTTGTCGCTCGACATCAACAAAGCTTCTGGACCGGACTTGATTCCTGCTATTGTACTGGAGAGGTGTGCAGCGGAGCTTGCTCCAATTCTTTCGCGTCTCTTCTAGAGACCTTACGAATCCACCTTCCCAAAAATAAACTGGAAATTTGCTTATATCGAACCCATCTCAGAAAAGGGATCGAAGAACGGTCCTACAACTACAGGCCTGTAGCTCTGCTTTCTTGTAAGTAAGGTGATGGAGAGCTGCATAAATCGACAGCTTCTGGACTACCTCGAACGTCACGGCTTGATTAGCGACAGGCCGTATGGCTTCCAGCACTAGCGATCTACAGGGGACCTCCTAGTTTAGGTCACGCAATTGTGGAGTAAACTCATCCAGTCTTAGGGTGAGACACATGTCGTTGCTTTTAAAAGAACGACAGCGTTCAATCAGCTGTGGCTCACGGTCCTCGTAAGCAAACTTTCATCCTATGGCCTCCCAGAAAAGCTTTGCAGATGGATGGCTGATTTAATCTCTCTTTAATTCTGAGTGACAAGCCGATCTTTGCCGCTGAGCTGGAAAAAAGAAGACTAGCGACGACTTCCTATCTGACGTGAGACCTGAAGGTTATCACTGGTTGGGGACGCAACAATCTTGTACTGATTGTTGTCTCTTCTCTAACAGACTGTCTTCTGACCCTTTCCCACCGGCGGGCCGTCGGCGATCTCGCTCTTTTCTACCGCTCCACCAACCAGCTTCGCCCCTTAGCTACGGATGTGCCTGCCAGACAGACCCGCCTGACTTTGGCGTCCCATCCTAACCATGTCGAACTCCATACATCTAGAACTGACCGATACGATCGCTCCTCTGTCCCGAGGGTGTCGAGATTGTGGAACAATCTACAAGGGGAAGCTTTTCCAGGTTTTTCTAACCTTAGGCAGTTCAAAAATCGTCATGGGATTTAAAATAAAAAGAAATTACTAAAAAACAAATTTCAAATTCTATTTATCTGGAACACGTTTCTGAAGCTCAATTGATTCAAGTAATAGTCTTTAAAAAATAATAAATCGCCTGGAATAGACAAAATTCAAGCTGAACCTCTAAAACTGAATGCTTCAGATATAGCAGAACCATTTTGTTTCATACTTAATTGGATTTTCCGTAGTGGGTACTTTACTACTATGTTGAAATAGTCCGTCATTACTCCAATTCATAAATCAGGAGACCAAACAAACATGTCAAATTACGTCCAATTTCTCCTCTATCTTGGCAAAAAATTATAGAATAAATAACGAAAATTAGGATCAACAAATTTCTAGAGGAAAACAACATACCTAAAATCAGAAATTAATCAGTGGATTGATAGTATTACACCTTGCATTAGTGTATTTCTAGATTTAAAAAGGGCGTTCGATACAGTTGATCATTCTCAATTACATAATAAATAGGTTTAAATTTCGCCTTCTCACGACAAATTATAGTAAAACGTACTTATGCCATTTCCATCATATCCCAAAAATTTACCCACCAAACATTAAATTGTATTAATGGGAATACTATCGAAGTAATTTCAAGGAAAGACAGTGTAAAATATCTAGTTGTCTATATAGACCCACATCTCCGCTGGGACACACATATACAATACATTGTCAAAATATTGAGATTTCTTCTTTATAAAATCAAAAACTATAACCAGTTTCTGAGAGAAAACCAATTGAAAATTCTTCATTATGCATTAGCCAAAAGCCATATGAATTATGGTATCATCATTTGGGGAGCAGTCAACAAAACTTACGTTGATGCTCTAGAGAAAGCACAAAAACTAATCTTAAAAACAATAAACAAAAAAAAAATTTATGCTGAAACTCAAACACTTGATATTAGACAATTATGTTTAAATTGAGTTGAATATAATTACCGTACAAGAAATAGATATGAATTACTGAAAATTCCCCAACCAGGAAAGAACTCGTTGCTACGATATTGGGCCTTTCTATATCCAAGATCTTATAACCCTCTACGAATTGAAATAAAGAGATAAACAAACATTATCAAGTTTAAAAAGGAGTTAAAAAATGGTTAATATCCGCTCCCCGATATATAATTCATTAAGCTATCGACCTAAAAATACTTATTTGGAATAATCTGTTTCCATATTTCTGGAGCACACAAATTAATGTACTACTTACCATTACCATTCAGGATGTTCACTTATCACTTCTGATTAAATATTAAGATATTTCATTGTGCTTGCTTTGAAGTCACGTTAATAAAATGTATAAGTTGCCAATATACATACATAAAAAATGTATTTTAGGTTTGTCTATATTGTTATATTAATGAATGTGTTATCATTACATCTTTAGGTTCTGTAAGGTATAAAAATTTGATGTATTGTGAATAGTCGCATGGTACATGCACAAGAAAATTGTATTTCTTTCTATGGGATCGTTCATATCTATTAGAATGTTGTTTGTAAGCATTTTTAATAAATATGGTTATTATTACTATTATACAGTTTCAACACCAATTAAATTTAAATTCGCACTATACATAGCATACCTAATTACGGATGATTCCACTTTTTAGAAAACTTATATTAAAAACTCAAGAGCCGTTTTCGTTGATCACTGTCCATCACAATCCAGTGCACATGTCCAGTCTTGACACGATAAAAATAAGCTCGCGCACGTGTCAAGTGTATTTTTTCTCTCATCAACTCGTCACTCGTGACAGTTTCCATATTAACAATACCGATTTAAAAACTCATTGAACAAGAGAGATAAGCAACTCGAATCGTATTAACACTCATCGGTACGTAATGAAGTTGTCAGGATGTGGGGCGATAGGAATGGCGTCAGCCTCATCCTATTGTCCTGCGGGGTGCTACGCAAGGACGTAGCTAGAGGAGGTATCTTAGGGGTTGCAAAGCAAATCTAAAGTGCTCTGACGACCATTCTGATAATAAAAAACTATAGGTAAGCATAGCGCAGTTCTTCACCGGCTTCATCCTGTATATCTACTTCAAACAATACATTTTTTCACAGACATAGAACAGAAGAAAAAGAACATCCAGTAATAATAGATTTGTTACAATTTTTTTTGTATAGACATCTTTTAGGGTTTGCTAAGTAATTGATCAAATTTTCAGAAAAATCCAACCTTTGAAAGAATCTGAAAAATTAATGATTTTTTGCGCCTCAACGATGTATTATGCACTTAAAAACACGTCTGGGCATACTTTTAATGACAATAATATCAAATTCGTAATTATTAAGTACATACTGATCTAACACTAGTGGCGAAGCTTAGCCGAGGGCTATTTTTACGCTTAACCACTAGTGCGAACAGGTATACGATGTCATGAGAAGAACAAAAAAAAAACAAAATCCGAGGTAACTTATATGACATGAATAGCAATGTAGACCATGGTACAAATTACGAATTGTTACACATCAAAGGATAAGAAAAATAAAGAAAAAAGAATGAGCTAAGATAAGAGTTAGCATGTGGTTATGAATACTAGCAGCATTGTAGGTGAAACTATGCTGGAATAAAGATGAATTATTGTGGGGAAT